CCCTCCACCTCCTCCCCCCCATAGGAAGAGCATGTTTCCCCACAATAGAGGACTGGGCTCTCACACCTGTGCACTTAGCACTTAAGGGGTTATAATGAAGCACAGGCACACCATAAGCTCACACCATAAGCTTCATGTAAAGAGTTTATTTCCAAAGCAAACATAAATTTGTATTGTATTGTCTTGTTTATTTATATCTTTATTTTCTAGTTGTAGTCTGATACATCTAGTAAATTCTTGCAGTACATGATTGTTTTCGGAAGAATTCAGCAGAATTCATTTTTTTTAATTTATTACACTTCGAATGAAGTACTTACAGGTTAACATATATCTTGTATCTTGGATATTAAAATATCTTGAATATTAAAATTTGTACTTTTTAGGCCACATTATGATTCACTGTCATACTTTTATCCATTTCTCATACTTTTATCCATTTCTGTTATTAAATACTTACATCTAAGTAAACAGTTTTGTTTTAGATTTTAGGTTTGATTACCATGCTCTAAAGCTAGCAGTAACTTTATCTTCCTGCTTGAAAACCAGAATAAGTGCTCCAAGTTTTCATTAGGACTTGGGTGCATGTGTTTTCAGGCATGAAGGGTAAATTCATGCTTATGTTTTTAAGAGCTGCTGAAATATGTGAAAACATTAAATTTCTTTAAGAAAATCTGAAATAAAGTATTACATGTTTGAATAGAGTCATCTTCCTTGTACTTACTAGCTACTAAATTCTTCTCATTTTTCTTTGGGAGGTCTATTCCTAGTGCCATTTCTTTATTACAGAACTTGCCCCAAACTAGGTTTCACAATTGCCTGAGATGATGCATCTTTTCTAAAATTATTCAACACCTATTCTGCATGGCTTTCTATTGCCTTCACGATAAACAGAATATTCAGAATAATAGAGCCCTAACCTCAAGAGGATCACACTGTGTAGCTTCTTGTCTTCGTTTATAAACTATTCCCTGATTAGGTACCAAGAATCTTCTCTATTCAGATAAAATGACTTCTGCATCCTTCTGTCTTTTCCAGCCCTTATTTCAGCTTTTATGGCTATGTAACGAATTACCTGAGAACTTAGTGCATCCATGAATACCTAGTCTGCTTATGGAGGCTAAGGTTTGGAATGTGAACATGGAACAGGTTTTCTCTGTTCCATGAGGTCTCAGTTGGATAGTTGGTATACTGGAAGTTAGAATGATCTGAAGATGCCTTCAATTAAAGGTGGGGCCTGATACTGGTCATTGGTTTCTCTTCATAGGACCTCTTTATAAAGTAGTTATTTTCTCATCTCACAGCATGTCAGCTGAGTTCCCCATAGTGACTTCCCCCTTAGAGAAAGCCACAAGGAGTCTGCATTTTGATGGGCATAAGAAATACTTCTTTGGCCAATTTTCAAAAATCTATATGTAGTGGTAAGGAGCTACAGTTTTGATCCAATATTCTTTTACTTTTCCTAGGCTATTATCATCCATACTGAGTTTTCCTGTTTTTACCTTTATATTCAAACCTATATTCCTTTAAGTTGGGAACTTGTATTATGCATCTGTTTTGTCTACTCAACTGTATTGCAACTTAATTCACTATAACACCTTATATTCCTGTGCTAATATTTACCAAAGACTCAAGTATAGGCTTTGGGCTTAATAGGTGATCAATAAACATCCGTCTTGAATTAAATAGGCTTAGCGTATGGAGGACCTTGCTTTTATGCATTGCAAGTGACTGATAGTCTGGGTAAAGGCTGCAGCTGTTGGGCAAAGGATTTCACCTCTAGAAAATAAATGAGTGAGAATAATATGTTAGGCAAAAAGTAATGTGATTGCATTTCATGAAACAATGAGCGTAAATATCCAGAGGCCTGATGGCAGGTATACAGTTTGTATCTTAAACATGAAAAGTATTAAATTAACTAAGTCAGAGTAAATACTATAATACATGGTTCTGTGAGGAAAAGCATTTCCACTTTACTCTTGCTTCATTTTAAATTGGCAATATACATGTTTATTTTTTCCTCTATCCATGTTCATTGAAGCAATGTTTTCCCTTCCCAAATTAAATATACAAAATTTTGGTTTACTGTGTGTGTCCGTAAAATTATCTTCATAGTCATTTTGTATAATTTTCATTGTTCATGTCAATTCTTCTATGCAAGAATCACAGTTATGTCAATTGCAATTTCTATATATTGTGATGATGGGATTTGATCAACTTATTGCTATAGAAAGCTAACTTATAGAGTTTGAGTTAAACTGTCCAATTTAAACTGAGTATCAATGGGGTAGAGAACTCACTTTATGATAGAGGTATAGAATCATATGCTCCTCATATGCCAGTATCCACTATTAAGGCACCCATAGTCTTCCAAGTCATATATTCCTTGTAAATCAGTCTCTATAAAATGAAGAAAGAAATACTTCAAATTTTGTAGATTCTCATAAGACAATGGCTTGATAAGAAAGGTCAAAATTCTCTATATTAATTTGTTTACTTTATGAAAATAGTAACCTGATGATAGCATTGCAGAAAATAGCATGACAATTATGAAACAACAACATCTGTGTTAAATTATTGTAATTTGCTTAAGAAATACATGCAGAATTATATGGATATCCAACTTTCATGTAGAAAGTAAATGTATGGGCTGTTAGCTTTCACATCCTCCCCCATATGAGGGGTATTTGAAACTTCAAAAATAAAATGCAAAGAATTGTTAAATCCTATTTGTATAAATAAGTTAAGCCCGATCTAGTTATATTTTAATAACACTGAAAACTACTTAGCTTTAACTAGCTATAGCCTATAAAGTCAGCAATTATAAAAATATGCCACTATGACTGTTTTTGCAATTATTAGTTAAAATCTAAAAACATGCTTGATGAATATTGAAAGTTACATATATATGTATAAAACTATTATGTATTAAAGATGGCTGATCACACTGAAGTGATGAAAGGCATCCATCAATATCCAGGTGTTCGATATCCTGTCCTTACACCTAATCTTCAAGGTTTTCATCGAGCCGTGAGTATGCTTCTAATTTTTTTTACAATCTGTAAACATCTCTTTTTTTAAGATTTTTATTTAGTTAAGGATCCAAGAACTGGAGTGTAGGTGCAAGATGTGAAAGAATTCACCAGAGACAGGTTGGGGAGCAGAATAGGCAGATCCAGTGAAATACACTGCTGAGGGGAACAATGGGTGAGACAGGAGAGGTCTGCAGTACCATGTGGGTCAGCTCTCTACCCAAGTAGCAAGCTTATGCACAGTGGCTGGTAATAGCTTGATAACACTGAGACTTTAAAACAATAAGAAAGGGGCCACCAGAGTTAAAGATATTTGCCAAGTTAAAACTGTTATATGTAACTCACTTGTTACCCTATGTAAATACTTTGTAAATAACTAACAACAGTGCCATGACATTACTGATCTCCATGAACTAATAAGAACTAAAGTGCTCTGTCCACATGTTTCACTCAGTTTCTACACAAAATAATCATTGGTTTTGACAAGTCGTTTGAAAGTTATTTTGTGCTTTCTGTATGAAAATATAATACAGACCATGGCTTACACATTTAATGATATAATGTAATTATGTAAATTTTACTGTCATCCTTTTGTCTGTTATTTCCATCCTCTCAGTGAAGCTAAGCATTGTCATAACTGCTTTTATGGAAATTGATAAATCAGACAAGTCACTGAAGAAGCCAGCAGAGAAAGGTAAAATGTTAAAAGGAGGGCCCTCCCTGGTGGCTCCATGGGTTGAAGAACAGCACTTTAAAGCTAGCTGCTTTAGCAGAGGAGTTTGATCCCCAGCCAGGAAGATGACCTACATGGTGCAGCAGACCTTATCAGCTGCTCCCCTCAGCAGTATATTTCAGCTACTCTGCCTAGTCTGCTGCCCACTCTGCCTCTCACCACCTCAGGCCTGGAACCCAGTTCTGTATGCATAAATAAATAATTTTTTTTAAGATTTATTTATTTATTTATACAGAGCTAGGTACAGGCCAGAGGTGCAGGGATGGTGAGAGGATTCACCACAGAATGGGGAGCAGAACAGGCAGATGGACGAAGTACACTGCTGAGGGGAGCAGCGGGCGGGTCAGGAGAGGTCTGCCACGCCATGTGGTCACCTCCGGGGCAGGCGGGGATCGAACTCATGCGGGAAGTGACTTAAGCTTCTTAGTGCAGTGCTTTAACCTGTTGCGCCACCAGGGATGGCCAACATAAATAAATAAATCTTAAAAGTTAAGAGGGGCAAAGGAAAAATTAGATTATCATTTTGAATTTAAAGGCTGATGAGGGGATGAAAAGACAAGGGATATGGTTGTACCAATCACGATATGGATCTATGTAGGTTAGATTAAGAAATTGGAGATAATTTTAGGCAAAATCTATGTGCATTAGAAAAAACATTTTCATTTAAAATACAGTATTACTATCTTCTTTTTAAATAATCAATATTTCTATAGATAGTCAGATTTTATTCAGTTACTAGTATTATCCATAATTAGAGTTAGCATATATCTAAGAAAAACAGGAAATTTAGGATATGGAAAAATAAACTGAACATAAACTGTATGCCTCATATATCTGAGTTGTAGTATGTAGAATAAATGTTATAAAATATTTTTAACATTCCAACAAGTATGTATGAACAGAGGAATCTAAATTTAAGTGCTAAGGAATACAAGCAAAACTTTATAAAATAGTTAAATTCTGTTACTTAAATTTTGACTTTAACTTGTATTTTTCAGGTTGCTGCTGGAGCCACTGAAATATCAGTTTTTGGTGCTGCATCTGAATCTTTTAGCAAGAACAATATCAATTGTTCTATTGAAGAAAGTATGTACAAGTTTGAGGAAGTCATTAAGTCTGCAAGGAACATGAATATTCCAATACGAGGGTAATTAAGAAATTTTACAGTTTCTATTTAGTTTACATCTGCTGTTAAACCCCATATAAACATTATTTGGCCCCTTACAATAATTTGACTATCATATCTTATTTGTGCCATGTGATCAGATCTATCACTATATTAATACACTCTAATAATTATTAACTAATAATGAAGGGATGTATAATGCAGTTGCTTCAGAGAGACTAGACTGCCTAACCTAAAATTATCACCACTCTATCTAAAAAACAATTGTAAGGCCCTCCCTGGTGGTGCAGCAGGTTAAAGCACAGCACTAAGAATCTAAAGCCCCTTCCGCATGAGTTTGATTCCTGCCTGCCCCGGAGGTGACCACATGGTGTGGCAGACCTCTCCTGACCCGCCTGCTGCTCCCCTCAGCAGTGTACTTCGTTGATCTGCCTGTTCTGCTCCCCACTCTGTCCCTGGTGAATTCTCTCACCCTCTGCATCTCTAGTCTGTACCCCACTTCTGTATGAATAAATAAATCTTAAAAAAAAATTAAGATCCATGACTTTTTCTTCAAATGATATTTGATGGATGTGGAACTTTGCATATAGAAAAGATAGGATGGAGTCTTTAAGTTGGACCCATACTAACTCTCACTGAAATGCAGAATCCCCTGCTTTTTCTGTGACCGAAAGCAGAGGAGGAGTGAAAAACCTGCTTTGGTTATTGTCTGTTTCCAAGACCTGCAGTTGTGACCCTCTGAATCAACTGCTTTGTACATTCCACAAGCAAGATACACTAATAATTATTAATACTGAAAAGATATATCAATACATAGCAATGGCCTTGATCACATATAGCGTCATTGCAAAGGGTTGGTTTGTAAGACAGTAGCTTATTTTGTATTGATTTGTATAATAAAGGAGATATAAACATATTACATGAATAAATGAAAAAATAGCATTTTTAAAAGACAGTGCTGTAACTGTATTTAAATGCTGGTTATAATTTGGTTGGTGAGCAAAGTTTGTTTGTTTGTTTTGTTTTGTCTTGCCATGAGCTATGTTCTTTCTTTATGACATGGCCATAGAAGTCACAAGTCACATAATATCACTTCAGCCATAGTCACAGACCTTCCCACATTCAAGGGGAAGTAATAGTCTTGATAGAACATCGGTGTCACTCTGCCTGAATGCATTGAACTATAACATAATAAATCAATAATAGAGTACAATAGTATATTACGTAACATATGGCCATTGGGTAAGGATATAGCCTGTCACAGTTTACTCCTTTGGCAGCCCCATATAAAAAAAAAAAAAAAACATTATTCATCTTCTCCCTTGAGGATCCCAGTGTGACATTACGAAAAACTTAAATATCAGGATCTTATCTATCCTGATAAAATCAAGCATGGATGGGACAGCTCCCTAAGGATAGTTTTTCTAAGAGTTTTGAAATCAGGATACCAGCTATTTGCTGTACCCTCCTACCCAGCCTGCAGTGGCGGCACTGGCATAGGCTGACCCTCTGATAGGCCTGCTGAAAAAGCTGCAAGTGTGAGATTCTTCAGAATTGATGGCCCATGGCACCAGATTTCAACTGGGAATAGTTATACAACTTGGAAATTATTTCATTGGCTCTTGACTCTCCTCACCTAATAACATTGTTGGAAAGTTGATTGTAGCAGGACAGATTTAGAAGAAAATAAAAGTGGAATCATTTTGTATGATGGTGTTAGATAAAGGGTGGAATTCCATTACAGTCATTTGGAGTGAGTCGAGTTAGACTATACTATATTGACCTGTTTACATTTTTTGTTTGCAGTACCATAATATTAGTTTATACACTGCATATAATTTAGAGGTATAGGTTCACATCTCTTCAGATGCATATTACCATCGCATGTCCTGCCTTTCCCCAGAGTAGGTAAAACATTGTACAAAGCATATACAAGAAAAAAAAATTAAAACCAAGATAAAGTATTGCCAGAATCATAAACTAAAGGGTGTCTATTTCATGAGGCTAGAGAGAAAAATGAACACTAATACACTGTTCGTGGAAGTACAGACTGGTTCTGCCCCTATGGAAAATAATATATAGAGGTTTCTCAAAATATCACCCATAGACATACCATATAAAATGACAATTCCACTCTTAGGTATCTTCCCAAAAATATGAATTCAAAGGGCTAGGCACATTCCCCACAGCACTATTTTATAATAGTCAACAACTTAAGTGTTCAATTATACGTGAGTGGACTAGGAAGATGTGGTATACATATGCACTGTAATACTATTCTGCACATAAAAGAGGAAACTTGCCTTGAAAAGAGAAAGATACATCCCAGATGACTTCTTTCAGGTGGAATATAAAGAAACAAATCAACAAAACCAACCGACATAACCCTAGTAATCAGACTGAAGAATTAAGGCTACCAGAGTTGCAGGGGTCCAGTGGAGTATCCAGAAGCACTGGGAGTGTGGTGTGGTGACAGGCATCTGAAGAAGTATGAGGCTGTAGCTTGGAATCATACAGTGTTGTAAGCCAGTGTTACCTTAACAAATATATCCCCCTAAAATGGCTATACTATATGAGTTCACTATTCATTCTTGCAATTGGAGATTATCTTCTACCCCCAAAACTTTCATAGTTTGTTATACGTTTTTAGTGGCAATATTGATTTTAGATGTTTATTAATATGCCATGGGTACTCATTTAAAGAACAGAGCCGCACTCAGTTAGCAGAAACTGAAGTAGATGCTTCAGCATGCCTTGCTGTGGCAACAGCTGTATCAACATGTACTTGGTCATCATCCAGAAAATTTATGTTGTCAAATTAAAATGTGTTCTGCCTTATGGCTTTTCACGAATGCTCATTTTACTATTTTTATAAAAATTCAAGTGACTATACTTTCATATGTTCTAAATAGCAGCTTTCTGGTTATTGTTCCTTCCTTCAGGAAACACACACACATACATATATATATATTTTTTATATGTATATGCTCAACTTTATGTAACATCTGGGACACACTGGGGAAAAATACCATGCCAAATCACATAAAAATGCAGCCAACTAACTACTGCTGCATCTACATTATGTATGAATAGTAATGAAATGTGTATATTTTGGACTTCATTAATTGTGTAATTCACGTGACATGTTTAAAAATCCAATACTTTTCTATTTTTAAAGGTTAAAATGTTCTTTTTTAACATTGCCTTTTATTGAAAGCATTATATCTCTGTTTGTTGAGATCCTTTTGCAACTTTTCAAGATGTCTTCTAGTACATGGAAGACATTCAGTCTTTTTTTCCTTTTTTTCTGACGCAAATACCAGCTTCTTTGAATGCATTCACATGAATCACATACATACTATCTGAGAATAATCATTGAAAAAGTAAATCACCATGAGGTGCTGTTAGCTTCACATTAAAAGCATTGTAACTGTGCATTATCAGTTCCCAAGTTAAACACCTGTGTGTAGAACAGTATACATGAGGAAGACCACTTGAGGTGTCTTGGGCCTTTCCTATGAAATGGCCTTGAATGAGTTAATCACTGATTAACCTACTGAGAGATGAATGATGTGTACATTACACACATATTATCCTAAGAGTCAAAATTAAATATACATAATATATATATATATATATATATATATTATTTTTTGAAAGATTTACTTATTTATGCATACAGAACTGGGGCACAGGCTAGAGGTGCAGGGCCAGTGAGTGGATTCACCAGAGACACAGTGGGGAGCAGAACAGGCCGACTGATAAAGTACACTGCTGAGAGGAGCAGCGGGTTGGGTGGGGGGGTGTCAGGAGGGGTCTGCCGTGCCATGTGGATCACCTCCAGGGCAGGGATGGAACTCATGCTGAAGTGGCTTTAGCTTCTTAGTGCTGTGCTTTAATCCACTGTGCCATCAGGGAGGGCTCCAAAATTATATATTTTAAGAAACTGCAATATGCAAAAAATATTTACCTAATTTATCCTCAAATTCCCACAAAAAGTACAAAATAATAAGGGAGAAAAAAAGTAGGATAATTTAGTAATTAAACATAGATTTCTTTGTGGTACAAAAAATCAGGCAATTTTGGATAAGTAATATTTTGTTTTAGGCATAACTTCTTTATAAAGCATTAATAACATTGCTATATAAGTATTTGAAAGCAAAAGATTTGCCTCATGCCATTATGATCCACCTGTTATATATCTCTTCACCTAACTCCTTCAACATCCATTTTCTTCTAATTTATTTGAAAAATTTCCAATCAACCTTGTATCACTAATATTAGAGACAGAGAAAATTCTTTCTATGCTCATTTGTTGCTGGACTAGCTGTGTATCCCTGTGAGTTCTCGTCTTTAAAACAGCGAACTTCCTAACTGCTGTGAAGTAAGAATACTCTTTTGTTCAAAGTGGTCACTATTTACTCGTTTCCCCTTTGTGAAATATGTTATAACTCAACACAGTGATTCAAAAACTTTCAGCCAGCTTGTTAGTCAAGACGCCCAAGTCACATTGCACAGCTTGTGTTTCCTCTCCTCCCCAGGTCCCCTGCAGACTATCACTATGTATTCTGATCCTGACCCAGAAGGTAATAGTGGTCTTATTGAGTGAGATAATAAGGCCCCTTATTTAGGGGTCAGGTTTTGAGATACATACTGACTGGCAGGTGGTCTTTCTCATGACTGATGTGACAAGTGTTCCTCCATTGAGTGATCTACCCCAGTGGGATTTACTGGCATATCATTATCTTGTAAGTGAGCAACTGTTGTCAAGTCCCTTTCCAAATTCTGTTGTCTAAGCCCGTCCTTTGTATTGGCCTAGAGGAATAATTCAAATCATCATTTACCAAAGTATGGTACGTGAAACATCTGTTAGAGCCATTTTCTTTCCTAAGTGTGGTTTATTTGATGGTCTCTACTTTTTTTTAGATTTATGGATTATCCCAGTACTGCTGTTTGCCAGAACACATATTCAACAATAGTTAATACATGTAAGCTGTTTTTGTAGTGATGTATAAGCTGTC